TCTCTCTCTCTCTCTCTCTCTCTCTCTATATATATATATATATATATATATCTTTAAATATTCTTAGAAAATTCATTGATTTTTCTTATTTTAAGAAATGTGTCACGCATTTTATTTTTTATAATATTTTTATAATTTCCAAAATAAAATAAATAATATAATAAATAAATAAATCATATTTATATATAGTTTATTTTTATTTTATTTTGTTTTTTTCATTGATAACAGAATAATTAATAAATTTTTAAAAAATTGAAAAAATAAAATACTTTTCAAACAATCTTAGATATTTTAAATAATTTTATGTTTAAAAATTGAAAAAAATATATCATAAAATGAATATATATATATATATATATATATATATATATATATATATATATATATCAACAATATATATCAAAAAAAGAGAACTAATATTTCATACAAAATATATATTAATATTTAATAGTGAAAAAATTTTATTACAAAAACATTATTGGAAAGATATTTCATGCATCGTTTATATACTATAAGGTTTTTATATAATCTGATATTATCTGAAATCATATTAATGAAAAATATAATATTGATATTTTTATATATTTCTTTTTTCATGTTATTTGAATTGCCAAAGTGTGCTACAAATATCATCACATATTACATAAAAATTAGTTAAACAAAAATTTCATAAATCTCAAAGAAAAAAAAATAAAAAAAATAAAAAAGATAGAAAAAGACACAAAAGTAGTCTTCCTTTAAAAAAAGAAAGAATGAAAATAAAAAGAAAAATTATGAAAAAACGATATTTTTCCTAAAAACTCACAATATGAGAAACAGGATTATTCGAATCCCAGTTTAATATCGCGATATACTAATATAATAAATTTGTGTCACTGATAAATCTTTTGCGAACTTTAGTTTATTTGGTTTATTCGTGCGTGGCATGTCTCGAATTGTTGTCGAATGAAAAATGATAAAGCGATTGCTATCGAAAGGATCGGAATCATGCAGTGAAACGGAGTTCGAGTGCAGCACAGGGGACTGCATACCGAAAAATTGGCTCTGTGATTTTCATCGCGACTGCACAGATGGGATGGACGAGAAAAATTGTGGCAGTAAGTTATCGATAAGTTCTAAGGTTGATTGTTGGAATCAACAAGGAACTAAAGAGAAAAAGAATGAAAAAAAGAAAAAACTACGGAACACATTCGATAAGGAAGAATTATTCACGTTAGAAGAAAAAAAGGAAAGAGAATCTTGGAACTCGGTTTTGAAATCGCAAATTGCATCCTTCAAATTATTGAATTTTTTTTTTTTTATTAAAGCAAAATCGTGATTAGGATATTGAAAGAAAATAAATTGTTAGAAAAAATAAATATCAATTTTGAATTCCGTATTTCGAAATTTTCTAAGTTTTATAAGTTTCATAGAATTTGTAAATTTTTTACTTTCTTAACCATATATTTTTTTTTACTACTAATCGTATGTTTTTCTTAAATTATTTGATATAAGCTTAATAAAATGATGAAATGTTTCCATTCTAATTTTTAGAGGTGTTTTCATTTTATTTGGTGTTAATATTTCGCTGATCTACAGTAAAGAATCGTTGATTAATATTTAAAAAAAATAAAAATACATATATAATATTCAAAAAATGTTATGTTAAATTAATATAATATGTAGATACTTAAATAGATAAAAAAGATAAAATTTTTATATGTTTTCAAATTAAAATTATTTTACTTTATCCTAGTTAAGTTTTCTTTAATTTTAGTATAAACATATATATTATATATACATATATATTATTTTTGAATTGTAATTTAATATAATTTAATGTAATTTAATTTAATAGAAATATATATGATCATAAATAATATTCAATAAAATTATAAGCATTTGAACAAAATATCGAATGTTATTATATGAGTAGTAGTAGCAAAAAAAAAAAGTAAGGCTGAGTTATATATATATTAAGATAATTAAATTAACATAAGAAGAATGTGAAACTTATAAGTTCAAATTTTGATAAAAAATAATTTGTAAATATAGATATAAAAGAAAGATAGATATAAAAAAGGAATGTAAATTTTAATAAAGGAATCTACGGATAAATTAAAGATATCATAAAATAATTTATTCACAATTTATAACAAAATTTTATTTTTTTAATTTATAATTTTTTTATTTATATAATATTATAATAATATATATATTATTTAATTAAATTTGTTTTTTAAAAAATTGTTCGTTTCAATATATATCAACTCATTGTTTCAGAAATATTTTATTTTTTATTCTTGTTATTAATAATTATTATTTATTCATTATTTCGTATATTATATTCCTCCTTTTTATTTTTTTAATATTTCTTTAAATAAATAAATTAAATTGATTAAACAAACAGATTTGTAAATCTTGTATTTAATATTTTTTATTTTTCTGTATGTTTTTAATGTTTTACGAAATATTTTTTTAATATTTTGTGAAAAATATTTTGTACATACAATATTTTTTTTAGTATTTTTAATACTATTATATACTAAATACCTTATAACATGAAACCTAATAATATGAAAATAAAATAGTCTTAACAATAAAATATTGACTATCGAAATACTAATTATCAACATAAAATAATGAAACTTAAATTTATGTTCAACAACATGTTTTAGTTATGCATCATCAGATTAAAGAATGAAGGTAAAATTTTTCAAAATGTGATTTTATTTCATAAATGATGTATAAAATACTAAAACGTATTTAAATTGTGTAAAAAATTTTTTTCTATGTATTTAATATGTAGTTGATCTCAGGGATGCAATTTGTAGGTTCTTGAGACAATTCTTGAGAATGTGCATACATTTGACAAAAATAAAGCTCGTCAAACGAGTTGCATACGTACAACAGAAAGCAACATGGGATCTATAACCATGATTGGTATGGTTGGCACTTTGTTACAAAATGAAAAAACGAGATCCAATCGATTGTCATCTTATAGGGATGAAGAATTGCACGGCGGATCAGTTCACGTGTCACTCTGGGAATGGCGAGTGTGTGGCACTCGCATGGATGTGCGACGGCCATCAAGACTGTTCGGACGGTTCAGACGAGGCTGAGTGTAGTAAGATTCTGCACGGGGATTATTTTACTTATGCTTATTCATTTTTTATGCATATAACATTTTTTCTCTTTACACATTGATTGCCAATTTGTTGTTTGAATTATTATTTTAAATTTCATTTTTTTTTTATATTATATTATATCATCATTTTTATTTTTATATTATCATTTTTCTTTTTAAATTTTAAAAAAAATCTTTCACTAAAAATTTTTAAATCTTAATAGAAATAAAATGATAATGATGAAATGATAAAATAATAATTAATTCTTATTTTATAAATATCATTTAAAAATGAAAATATTAATTATTATTAAATAAAAAATTGCATAAATAAGTATATATAATGAAGAATGTCAATAATAAAGATTAGATATATGTAAATGAATTTATAATAATCCATAAAATTATGATATTTTGATGATTAATTAAGTAGAAAGATGGAGAAAAAAATAAAAGAAACAATTTTTTTTTATTATTTGAAAATATAACTAATTCACATATATTTCTATTTAAATCTCTGCAACTTGAATTGTTTTGGTTACGAAAAATAAATATCATTTTACATAATGTTCATTATGTAAAATATAAAAAAATACATAAAATTGAAATGAAGTATTCTTAAATTAAGATTAATTCAAATTATTAATTATATTTCCGATTCAATTATAGATATTAAAATTTAAAATTTTTTTATGGCAAAAAATATAAATTTATTATTTTCTAATATATATTAACTATATAATATATCAAAAACATTTCAAAAGTATTTCATATGTTTATAATAAAATATAGATAATATATTTATCTATAGATAATATCTATAGATAATAGATTTAAATTGCTAATATTATTATTTCCATTATTATTATTATTTTTCTATATATATTTATACTTTGAATTCTATTCTATTGTTGAATGAAATATTTTCAGGATCATACAAAGAAATAAATACAGTATAATAAAACGCGCATGCGCGCATATACACACATACTTTTATTTTTAATTTGAAATTTAAAATAAAATTCAATATGAAATATTTTATCTTTGTAATTTAAAACATTTTAAAGTATTTTAAAGATTATATAATATTTTTTTAAAAGTTATAATTAAATTTATTAAAAATAATCTTATTAAATATTATAATAATATAATATAATAATAATAATATATATAATAATATAAATATTTTTTAACAAAACTTATAAATAATTCGAAGTTTACTAATGAATATTAAATATCACTAAATATTTATCAGTAATTATAAAAATTAAAAATATCAAATATTGCTATTTAATCATAGAAAATGTTTTATAATCTAATATTTTAATTTAACAACTATCAATCAATAATCAAACAATTATTGCTAAATATTTTATTTATCTAATAATTAAATCTATTATGGATAATATAATTTCATATTATATCGTATTATCAACTATATTAGCCTATATTTTATGAATGAAGTACAAGATCGGAAATAAATGATTCTAAAGTATATTATTTATTGTAAAATGATCTTAAACTAAGTAAATAAAATTGGCAATCAATGTGTTAATTTCTTTAACTCATGATTGATAGATTATAACTAAAACGAATTAAAACAACCTAATATATTTTTAACATATAACATATAATATATTTGACTTGAATGAAATTCTTCGCTTTGATATTTTATTTTTGATTTGTAATATTAAATTTGATGTGCTAAATTCATTTTATGTATTAAATTACAAAGTATGTAATGTATGTAAGAAAAAGCTAAATTAATCGTTTAACTATTTTCGAAATTTTTTTAATAAATTAAAATGATATTAATGTAAATATTATATATTTCAATTAAAATGCATACTTTGCAAACTTGTTTCATCAGGATCAAATTGATCACAATTTATATATAATAATAACATATATATTATATATATAATAACATATATTTTATTCAGTCAAGAGTTAAAATATATATGACAGACTTCATGATGAGCATGCTTCCCTTCTTTTTTTATTCTGTACAATTTTTGTCAAATTAGAAAATTTTTATTCTATTTTTGTTCTATTTTTTTTATTTTGTTATTTTTTGCTTGAAAAAATAAATTCTATTAGATTTATGTTAGTAAATATTCATATTCTTAATATTTTATTGTAAAATATGCTTACATATAAAATGAAAAATTAAATAAAATATACAGTAATAGAAAAAAGTTTAGAAAAATTATTTTTTTAATAAATCGTATATTATAGATAAGTACTATAAATATTATAAATAAATAAATATTAAATTTAGATAATAAATAACCAATAATTTATAATTGATTTTAATTATATAACTTAATTTATTAAATATCTATAATATAATACAATGATATAATATAATATAATTTATTTATCAAGTTATTATTTTTATATAAATTTTGTCTATTATTTCATAAGATAGATGTATTTAATTTTTTCATACTTAATAATTTATTATTACATAATTTTTCTATTCTATATCTTCATTTATTAAAATTTTAAATATTTCTATATTTAGAATAAATTAATATTTGAAAAAGTGATCTCTATTTATAGAGATAGAGAAATAACGAAAAGTTTACAATTGATGAAATTATTATACACAGTATACACAATTTATGATGAATATTTGGATTTATATATTTGATTTTTTATAAATAAGCAATCAAGATATGCTTTATAAAACATATATATATATATATATATCTTTAAAAATTCTTTTTAAAGAAATTAATATTTTCTAATTATTATAAATTTTTTGAGAATAATAAATTTGTAAATATTGAATCAAAGAAAAATTAAAAAAAAAAATTAAAATCACTAAAGTACATGAAGAAAGATAAAGATTATACGAAAAAAGAAAAAAATGAATTAATTATAATAATTGCATGAAAAGAGAAGCAATAATTGAGATTATTATTGCTATTTAACTTTTGTATTTTAATGATTAATACGGAATTCCATATGCTTGGTAATCGTTGCACGTTGTATGCTTTTTTCTAATTAATAATTGTCGCATGTTAATTTCACAATGTAAATCAGATATTGTGGCATCTTCGCTGTCTTTTATTCTAAATGTAATTATTATCATTATGAGAATCATTCTTTTCAAATTAATCTCCCTTAACATGCTGAATCTTAAATAATGCTATTTCCTTTTTAATTTTTCAATTACATTCCAACATTTTTTTTTATTTCTTTATTTTAAAAATACTATAGTAAATAAAGTAGTACAAAAGATATTATTAAAGATATTATTAAAGATATTATTAATTTCTTTGTTAATGAAAATCAGTCTTTTTACATATAAATAAAAATCATAAAGGAAATTTAATAAATAGTTTTATATCATAAAAAAATTGTATAGTTTAACAAATTTTTTTCATAAAATATTTTCATAACAAAATGTTAAATTAAAAAAGAAAGATAAAGATTATACGAAAAAAGAAAAAAATGAATTAATTATAATAATTGTAATTAATAATTATAATTAAATTACTATTATAATAATAATTTGTATTATATATATATATTATATATATAATTATAATTAATTATTATAATAGTAATTTAAATAAAATAATATTTTATAAATACCATAATTTTATATATATTATATTTTATTCTTTTTTTCTATTATTTGAGAGATCTCAAAAGATTTGTCGATGAAACTCAAAATATTATTGCGAAAGCAAATTATGCAAATAAATAATTTCCTTTATCGTAGAGTAACATTAAATCATACCGAAACAAATTTATTATTAAAACTTTTTTTCCTTTCCGAAAAGCATCTCGTTTTTCTGGAAAAATTTAAATAACTAAATCTTCGTAGCTATATTGTACAAACTACAATATATTTTCAAAATTTTTCGTCGAACTATGTCATTAATTTTATCTTCATTATAATTTTTCATATTTTTTATTAACATGTTCATATTGTATCTGTTATTTCTCTTTCTTTTTTTTCATTTTTTTCAATAAAAATGAAAAATATTATCATCAACTCTTTGTGTCAAAATAATTATTTAATTAAATAATAATTATTTAATTATTAAAATAATTACTACATGCATAATTAATTATCAATGATAGGAGAAATTTAAAAAATTGTAAAGTAATACAAGAATAAATTTTTTCAATATTTTCAATATTTGAAAAAAATATTGATTTTGAAATTAAAAAATTTTATAATATATGTAACATAATGTAAAATATATAATCATAAAAAAAATTAATCTTTCAAGATTCTACATATATATACATATCTAAATATTGATATATATGTATATTGATATTTTAGATATGACATTCTATTCGAAATTTTATTTCATTTTCAATTTTAATCCTTCTTAATTTTTTCTTAAATAAACCATATCATTCATGTCGAATCATAAATTATTTTTCTTGCCCTCAACAGATCTTTAATAATTTTGGGATATTTAAAAATTCTCTTACTTCTCTTACATCATGTTATTCTTTATTAAATTAAATATTTGAAATTATTTTTAATTTTTAATAAAAAAAAACAATAAAAAATCAAATATCTAATTTGCTTTAATGAAAGATTATTATGTAAAAAATATTTGTTTGCGTTATAATTTAATTGAATAAAATTTTTTAAAAGGAATCAACTTAAATATATTATCGATTATAAGAACATAAAAATATTCAAAATATGAATAGTATTTGAAACTATCTTATTAATTATATACTATTTAAGTAAAATATCGAACACTGTTCACTAAATATTAAATGGAATAATAAAGTGCAATAGTAAAAAATTTAAAATAAATAATAAAATTTGAATTATAAAAATTATTTTCAAAAATTATTTTTAGAAACAAAAAATTTCATACCAAAAACCATAAAGAGTTGAAAATGATGAAAATTTTTATTTAAATAATCATACTTATTGTTGTAGATAATTTCACAGTTTTTTAATTTCAATGGGAATGATTAATATTATGTGAGTATTGAAACAGTCGATTTTTCGTTCGTCCATCGAAATAATTGCATACTAAAAGTCACGTACTTACAATTTGAGTCTTTAATTTATAAGTAATGAACAAACAAGTAATAATATTTGCTTGCTCGTCGATCAAGAGAATAATAACACGATGCTAAGAAATTTATTTCTTCTATTATATTTTTTCGAAAATGTAAATACACTTCCATAATTTAGTCTATATGAAATATGACAGTAATAAAAAAAAAAAAAAAAAAAGAAAAAAAAATTAAATTGAATAATCGAACGAAAAATCAATGTTTATGTATGTCATTCTGAATTTTTGTTTTAATATTTGTCTTATGAATGTTCAAATAAAAATATTGTATATATTTTTGTATTTTTAAATAGTAATGTGTTTTTTTAAATATTATATAATGTTTAAATATTAAATAATTTTTTTCTTTATTATTAGAATTCTTTAGAAAATGTTAGAAAATATCTATGATGACAATGACAATGAATGCAAAAGTTTTAGATCATTCATCAAATAACCATTTTTCGTTTCTATAAATAAGGAAGATATTATGATATGTGATATTTCAATTTTAATGTCATTTTTTAAAAAACATCTATATATTTATGTATCATGATCATTTAATAATAGTGTTGAATAAATTTTTAATGAATATACTATTTTTTCTATTTTGTTTTCAATATTTTAAAATTGGATTATATCTTTTTTTTTGGTTTATTTAATAATTTTTTTATTTAAATAATTTCATATATATTAAAATTTAAAATTTATGTATAAAGATTTATTTTAATATTACTATTTATTCTAATGATAAGAAATTACAATAAAAAAAATCTTGAAAATAAAAATTAAAGATATATTTATATTTTTAATAATAAATGTAAAAATATTTTTTATTTATTAAAATATAGTTTAAAAAATTATTAATAATATATTATTTAAAATTATTTATAGAAATTATATAATTGTATAATATATTAATGATATTAGATGATCTAAAACTTTTAATAAGACTCTATAGTGTAATTGAATGTCATATATAAGAATAAACGAAAGAAGCATATTAATAATTTACATTGAATTTCTTACAAATCATTGAATCTTAAATAAGTTATATTTTTACAGAAATAAAGATAAAATTATAAAAAACTCGAACTATTTTATTAAATTGAAAAATGTAATATTTTATTTTATTTTAAACCATGAAATCTTAGCGAATTGCAAAAATATAAATATTTCTGTCTTACATTAAACTTTTTTATAAAATTAAATTCTTTCCGTGCTAAAATTCTTCTGACAAATAAGAAAAAAATTTATTTGCATATAATTATACTTTTTACTTCATAAGAAAAAAAATTTCTTTAAAATTTATTAAAAAAAAAAAATGTTTAAAATGTTTAAAATGTTTTAAAATAAAACATTTTAAATGATTTCAATTAGCGTGTAATTAAATTTTATTTTATTAAAAATAATAGGATATCGAATTTTTTTATTAGATAGAGTAAATTCTTTAAATATGCACAATAATTCTTAAATTATTTAAAACTTAAAAATTATTTAAATATTTATAATATATGTATACTGTATGTGCTTGTACATGCTTGTATTTATAATAATATTCCTAAATTTTAAGTTAATTAGTTAATCATTATTTTAAGTTAGTTTGTGATTTAAAAAATATAATCATAAAAGAAAGAATATAAAATAAAGAAAGAATATGAAGGATTTAATAAAATAAAAAAATATTGTAATTATAACTTTGTCAAAAATGAAACAAATATAGGAAATAATAACATAAATATTTATTTATATTATATTATATATATTATATATATATTATATAAATAAAAACATAAAGTATAGTACATACATTTTATTAGTAGCAATATTATATTTTAATATTAAAATATATAAATATTTTTATTAAAGTGATTATCCAAAGTTCTTTCAAGTGAAGCATTTTAACAATAATAATTAATTTAATAATTGAATTGTTATTTTTCTTAATAACAAAGAACATAGAAAATTCATTGAGATAATATAAATTACAAATATTATTAAATTAATAATTTCAAAGGCAATTTCATTACAATCAAAAGATAGTTAATTCAACATTAGATATTTTATCTAAAGAATTTGATTCAAAGATAATATTTAAACTAATGAAACTAAAATGCTTCTTTCGATTTCTATTTAAATTTCTATAAGATTTCTATTAAGATTTTATATTTAAATTTAACTTTCATATTAAAAAATATAAATGATCGTTGAATATAAGTGATTGTTTTTATTATATCATGTTTATTTTATATTCTCATAAAACATCTTTTCTCTAGATGATACCTGTCGATCTGATGAATTTACTTGCGCAAACAAGCACTGCATTCAGAAAACGTGGGTATGTGACAGTGATGATGATTGTGGCGATGGCAGCGACGAAAAAGATTGCAAACCAGTTACCTGTAGTCCATCGGAATTCGCCTGTTCAGATAATTATTGTATAACATCTCAATGGAGATGTGATGGTGATTTCGATTGTCCTGATAGACGTGACGAAATTGGATGCAAGGTAATTCTAGATAAAATATTTTATTTTAACATAGTTATAATAAACTTTTCTTATACTATGATGTGTATTATAGATTTTTGCTTTGATTAAAAGTTTTTTTAAAATAATAATTTATTTTGTTTATTTTAAATTTTATTTGAATTGATTAAATTTTGTTAATTAATATGTTATAATTAATTATTTTAATATTTTGTTCTTGTATTATTTCAATTATCCAAATAAAAGAACAATTTTGAATATAAATAATTCTGGAAATTTTAAAATAGATAAAAAAATTATCTTATAATCATTCTTTTCTAAATATTTTCTTAATAATTATTTAATAATATTATTAAGAAGAGTAAAATATTAAACAAATAAAATTCTACTATTAGAATATTATTTATAATATTAATATTACTAGTAATATGACATTATGAAACTAACGTAATGATACACAACATTGTCTGTTAACTTAAAAATAGGTTTTTTTATGTTATAATATAGTTTCAAAATTATTCTTAAGAATATGATAACAAAGATTTTTTAAATATAAAATTTCTTCTTTTTTATCAAAATATTTAACTTTAAAAATTTATAAAAGTTATTTATATAATTTATTATATGTATATTTAAAAGTTTATATTAATTATATTTTTTAGATTATTTAGATTATTTTTTAAAAACATAATATGAAAAATATTTTATTAAAATCTGAACATTAAATATAAGTATAATTTATTTATAAAATTTTTAATTAATTTAAAATGACTTATCTGATAATTAACATAATTTAATCAATAAAAAAGTTCTAATACTATATATGCATCATATGAAACAGTTAAAATTAATCTTATATAAAAATAAAATATAAATTAATATTTGATTAATAATATTTTAAATATAATAATTTATTCAGAGATTCTAAAATATATTTATATAATATATATCATTTTTTCCATTATGTCATATTTATATTGATATATAAAATATTAATATATTCGTGAGGTATACTTTTGATTTATTAGGGAATAAATTATAGAATGATTTGATTAATAATAAAAAACATACAATAAAAAAGAATATATTTAATAAAAGAAATAAGAATAATCTGTTATTATATAGATTATGTGGGTCAGTCGATGCTTTTGTTTTACACTAAGCTCACATGATATGTCGCATCGCACAACGCAATGATCTAAAAAGAAGGAAAAGATAAAATAGAATCGAAATAACAATCGCATTTAGTCACACCAAATTCATAAACATCATCCTTATACACATAAACGCAACTTTCTCTCTATGAATATCTTTGTAAAATTATACATTCATATCGGATAAATCATATTTATATCTCTTTAATACTATTCTGAGATACCAAATTCTGAAATTTTTGCTTCGATAATGCTTTTATAAGTAGGTTGGCTAATCAATTATCTATTTTTTTTTATTCTTTTTATTTTATATTTTTTCGCAAGTAAAAATAAATAATAATGGCAATTGCATTATCATAATAATGGCAAATTTTGAAAACAATTACTCTACAAGAATTCATACAAATCATATTACTTCTTATATCAGCAATTTTATTGAAGTTAACATTGCAGAATCTATAGATACTGCAATCGAAAAACAATCTATGATTAAATTTATTTAATATTTTTTCCGCATAAGTCTTTTGAAACATTTTTAGAATTCTCTATTTCTTTCTATTTGTATTCTGACAAAATATTTAGCCTTAGAATATTTTATTTTGAGTATTTTACTGAAATTTAAAAGTAAATCATTCATTTTTAAACGATTATTACAACAAATTATACCATTATCAAAATATAATACTACATGCATAATTAAAGTTTCTGAAACCAAATAATATATATAGGCGTTAATTTTAGATTGTAATAAACTGTACTCATATATAAATTCATTTATTTTTCCATTATCTATGTTTTGATGCTTATTTTAGTTCATACAAACTTTTTCTTAATAAATAAACACGATCATCTACCTCGAAATCAATTAGTTATTTCATATAAATAGTTTCTTTTAAATTATTTTTAAATTACCATACAGAAATGCAATCCTCATATCGAATTGTCATTTCTATTTCTTCATTCATTACAATAATGACGGATAATACTAATCTAATAGTATCATATTTTATGATTGGAGAAAATCAGTTTTTAAATCAGTAATCAATATCATTCTTTTGTGCATAATTTTTAACGATGAGTCTAATTTTGTATTTACAAATTGTTTCATCTATTTTATAATTTTTTTTTTTTTTTGAAAATCCAATGATTTGAAATAATTAATATTGTTTAGTCTTGGAATTAAAACTTATGTTTTATTTTCTTCAAAAGATTCAAGTTCTTTATTGATTGCTTCTATCCGTTTATCTGAATCTTCTGCTTCTAACGTTTCGTGGACTATTTGTTGATTGTTGATTCGCAAGCAACAAAGAAATGTTTCAACTATTTCAGAATGCTAATACCGAACATCTTTTATGAAGCAGATAAAGATTTCGAATCGATTGTCAAGGATTTTTTGTTTTCTTCAATATTATATTCATTATATTTCAAGGATTTTTTGTCAAGGATTTTTTGTTTTCTTCAATATTATATTCATTATATATCAATTCATTCTTATTGACTTCATTATTCACCTGTTCATTTATTTTATCTACCTCATTATCAATCTTATTAAACGTAATTATTTCTGTGTTATTAGATTTTTTATTGAAAATAAAATTTCTACAAATGTAATATTTCTTTGTAACAAAATCGAATAATCGATATTGTTTTCTTTGCTATTTTAATTTATCATCAAAAAAAATTTTTTTAAATCTATCACTTGCTTCTTTGATGATATTTCACCATCATACCATTTTTCATACGGCATTGACCTTTTTAATATTTTGGTAACTGTTCGATTTTTAATATAAACATCTGTAGTTGCTGCATAATCATAGCCCATAAATATAGATTACTTTTTGCAACGTAGACTAATTCAACAATTGATCTATTTTGTTTCTCGATAAATTTGTGCACACAATATTGTTATCTCAATGTTTTTCAAAAGTAAATAATTTTTGAATTTATTACAAAATTTTTTTCTTCGATCAATTTTGAATTTTTTTATATTATATCTATCCGCTTGTATATCAGCATAAAATTGTTTCAAATAATTAAGAATTTTGTTTTAAGAAATAAACATAGCATGATCGTCCTTCAATAATAAGAAAAAATTCTCCAATAGTTGGCTCATTTTACTGATTTAGATCGGCATGAAACACTTCTTCTGCATTTTGACGTTGATAGATTGTCCTTTTGGAAAAGATATTCAGTGTTGCTTGACATATACACATTCTTCACAAAAGATATCATTTTTTAGCATATCGATCTTTAAATCTTGTATCATTCGAATTTATTATATGTAATGTAACGTTTTAAAATTTATATGTTTTAATTTTTTATACCACTGTTCTGGTGTAATATTCATTAATATATTTGCTTTTTCTACAAGTGCCGTTTATTGTTTATATAGTTTATTATAATTTATATTCTGTTATTTCTTATAATTCTTATAATTTATAGTCTGTTATTAAGTTTATCTTCCTTGACAATTAATTGTTTTTATAAAAATATACATTTTGTTTATTATCTTCAAAAATAATTCTCAAATTCTTTTCCAAAAGTATATCCAATCGATAACAAATTTTTCTTTAATTGCGATATGTATAATATTCCACTGATTGTATGACTTGTATACATTCCATTAATATTTACTACTTCAATTTATTGCCTTTTTACATATAATTATTTATATTACTTTTAACATATAATTATATATTATTGCCCATGTAAATATGTATTTTTTACGTATATTTTTATATTTTTGAATTTTTTCCTGAAAGACATATGTTTTGTAGCATCCGAATCGGTAAACTAAGTTCATCATTCTTCATCTTTCATTTGAGAAACATGTTTTATTAAACAATTCAGCAGAATTAGAATATTTAATATTTTTGTTTTTTTTTTTTTTCATTCTTTTGAACAAGGATTATTCTTTTCCACCTTTTTCAATGCATAATCATAAGCTCAATATCCAGATTTTCTAGAAATGACATGTTATTTCTTATTTCTATTTATATTAGAATCACGGAATATAATTCTTTCAATATCTTCTCGTATAGGCTTTTTTTCTATTCCTTTACAGGATATTTACAGGATTGTCTTGCATTTTTCTTCGTTTATTAAGTAATTTATTAATCAATATGTTTATTTGTTACTCAATATTAATATTTGTTACTCAATATTTTATTCTACTTGTGATACAGCATATCACAGCTGTGCAAATATTATTATATTTTTCTATTAATAGAATTTTTCTAATGACAGCAGGATCTTTTTGTTTCAGATCTATATCTTTAAGTTGTTCTAGTTGTTCGAAACTATTCTTGAAATGTGATTTGCGAATTCATTTTTACATTTATAAATTGATCCAAAAATACTTGTACTGATTGATCACTTTTCTCAGCATATATATATTCTGTACAATTTTGCCCATTTATGCCGTGTTTTACTTGATTTAATTCACAACCCTTCATCAAAAAAGCTAGAGAAAAACAGAAAGCTTCAATATCTTTTTGAATCCATGATACAGTATCTGTTTTATTTTCAAGCCTGAGAATTGAACCATTGATATACATTTTTAGTTTATTTAGTTTATTCTTCATCATGTAAATTTGCATTTACATTTGCATTTCCACAACTGATAATTTTATCCACTAAAATGAATATAGTAATATAGTTTTGTTTCAACCATTTTTATTTTATTTTTAATTTTTAATTTTAACAAAACATACCTTTACACTGAATCACAAAATTTTACAACAATATACTTCTTATTTTTTTTTCAAGTATCAAATTCACAACACGATAACATATAAATATAGGCCCATAACTTATTAGAGAATAGATTGTGGAATGATTTGATTAATAATAAAGAGCATACAGTAAAAAAGAATATATTTAATAAAAGAAATGACTATATCTTAGACTTATCTATATATAGATATGGATTGGTGCCGATGCCTTTGTTCCATTACACTGAGTTCATTATATTGCATAGCGGTTCAAAAAGGAAAAAAGATAATATAAAATCGAAATAGTGATCGCGCCCAATGATATCATATTCACGCAAATATACAAAATATGAGTCTCATCATATAAACTTATACATAATATACACAATATATACATATAAATTTATACAAAATATAAACACAACAGGATCATTGTAGAAATCAAAAGAAATATAAAAATTGATATACAAAAAAATATCGGTAAATATGTATTTGTTTAGTTATAACTAATTAAATTTGTATAAAGATAAAACGAAATGAAAACAGAGAAAGATCACTTTGTGTCTGCTATATTATATTTTGTTTTTGCATCGCTTTATTTAATTAATAATTTAAAATTAATTTAAAATTATAATGTAAATAATGTAATAAAATCTTAAACGATATTTTTGTAATCAATTTTATGTTTGATGGAATCGACTATTCAAAATATGTCCCACGAATATATTAATATTCTGTATATATTTGTATATATACTATTATAATAGTATAATATATTATAATAGTATAATAGTATAATACTATTATAATATATATACTATTATAATATATATATACTATTATAACTAGTAAAATTTTATTTATTCATTTTTAATTCCTGAATTATAAAAACTTAATATAAAAAAAACATTTAACTTTAAATCTTTTTATTTGTATTTTTTCATCATTATCAAAAAATATAAAATATTATACTTATTGATAAATGTATCTTTGCTTAAATACACGAACATTCTATTAAATATTGAACAAATTATGATGCTATATTAATTTCTTGTAATAAAAGAAAAATTTTTTTTCTATTTCGTAATTTGAAGCTCCATTTTTCGGATAATTGTTTAAACTTTCAACTTTTTTTTCCAATATATATTTTTTTTTCATTCGAATCATAAAATGATATAAATATGAAAATGTCTAAAAATTAATGTAAAATCTTAATATTTAAATTGAACAAGATTTGAAAATTTCAATAATTCATATAGATAATCTCTTTATTGATATTAGTATATTTCTGAAATTACATCTGTTTTTATATCAATTAATTTTTACAATTAAATTTTCTATATTCATTGATTATTATTATCGAATAATAATAAATGAATAATAAATAAAAAATAAATAAAATAAAGACTTTGAATTTAATATTGGTAATATTGTAATTTTTTAATATAAAAATTTCAATAATTTGGAATGATTTCATCCTTGATATTTTTTTATTTAATATTCGTATTTATGAAATTATATTCATTTTTTTAATCAATTAATTTTTTAATAGTTAAATTTTTTTTTATTTCAACTATTGTTTAAATACTGAAAAAAGATCATTGTAATCTTATTTATGAAAACAATTCCCTTTCACATTTATTAATTCTTATAGTCATTTTTATAGTTTTAATAATTTTCTATATCGATTTTTTATATCAGAGAATTTATAAATAATAATAAATAATAATAAATAATAAAATAATAATAATAATAATAATAATAAAAATATAATAATAAAACTGAAAAAAAAAGCGATTTATAAAATGTAAAAAATTATATAAAATAAAAAATTTACTTTCTTTTTAGTATGCAATCTTTAGTATGAAATCTTTTTAGTATACAAATGGAGAACGCCATGTTCATTGCAATAAAAAAGGAGAGTTTGATTGTGGCGATGATTTCTCGTGCATACACGAAAGCTGGGTGTGCGACAGGGAAAAGGATTGTCCGAATGGAGCTGATGAATTGCCTAAAGTGTGCCACAATTTTACATGTAGACCAGATCAATTTCAATGTCAGCATATTCGTAATTGTATATCAGGTAATTTAAAAGAAAACTTGATAAAATTTTTTTCTGTAATTCTATATAATTTTATAGATATATCAAATATGTAAATTCGGAGTATTAAAAAAAAAAAATAAATAAATAAATAAAAATCTTATTTATAGATTATCATAATTTATAGATTAATAAGAGAGTTAAATAAAAAGTTTTTATATTCTTTTAATTATATATTAAATATCTATTTATTGTTATGTTTTCAGAATTTATTTATATTATGTATTATTATGTATTCAAAATTTATTATATTATAATGTATTATAATTTATATCCGTTATTTTCTATTACCATAAATCAATATTTTGCATTTTTTTTTCAACTCTCTCGAATTCTTTATAAAATTCTTCAGTATTTAAATTCTTCAAATTTTGCAAAAATTATGTTGATTGAAAATAAGTAATTTTAAGCAATATTATTGAATTTTTTATAAATTTTGAATTTTTTTCAATTCAAATGATTTCAAATAAATAAATCGAATAAATTTATAATAATGCACTTATTTGAAAAAGTAACAAAAAATTTTTATTTTGAAATATTTACTTTAGAATACTTAATAATTAAACAAGATAAAATTCATTTTAGAAAACTATTAATTTGTTTTATCTATTTTTATTATTTTCATTTCATTACATTATAATGAAATGAATCGGAAGTTAGATAAATATTTATTTATTCGGAACTTATTTAAAGTTACGAATAGCTATTTTATACATATATTGTATATATATATATATATATATATATATATATATATATATATATAATTATTAATTAAATTTTTATTGATTGAAAAAATAATTAATTAAAATAATTAATAATTAAATTTGAAGATTAGATTAAATTAGTAATTTTATTAACCCTATTTATTGTGAGTATGAAACATTCATAGGATAAACTTAAATCATGAATTATATTATATTTATATCTTTATATTATTTGTTATATTTAAACATTTATATCATTTATATCATGAATTTTTAAAGTTAAACTTATATTTTTTGATTCTACTTGTTAAAAATACTGATAGATAAATAAATAAAATAAATAAAATAAATAAAAAAATAAATAAAAAATTAATGCTCCTATAAATTAAACTTCAACTATTATTATATTTATGTAGAATAAAATATATTTTATTTAAAATATATCTATATTTTATTTTATAAAGTAAATTCAAGTAAGATGGTCTTTTTAAAATCATCAAACTAGTGCAACAAAAATTTAACTGATATACAAAAAAATATATTTGCAAACGTAAATATATATAAATTTATAATATTAATTAAAAAATAAGAAAAAAAATAATCAAAAATTTAAAAAAAAATATAATTGAATGTATTAAGATTATCTTACATAGAATGTATGTAAGTGAGATGATATCTCGTTTTAGGGTATAATGACTCAAATAGAAAATATATTTAATATAATTATAAGTTTAATAAAACGAAAAAAATTTTTTTTTGCATAAAATATTTCCACATTATTTATATATAAATATTTTAAAAATTCTAAATATTTTTCATAAAATCAAACTTTTTTACACTCTTTTTACAAATCAAACATTGAATTCAATCATCTTATTTTGTAGTGTTCTCTACATCCCATGCATTTAATATTTATTATGTTTTTCTTCAGGAATATCATTATTTTTTTATATTGAAAAATCTGAAAATTTCACCAAAAGATATATTAACTATTTTCCATTTGTTTAATTTTTTAAAACGTTTTATTACTTTTTTTGTTTGAAATTTTTTTAATTGCAGATAGAATTTCTTTTGATACTTGTTTTTTTATTAATGTTTTCAGGAAGTATTAAAATGATAGAATCTATTTTCTGATTTGTTGAATTGAATTTATTGAGATACTGGATATTGAATTAATCTGATTTAATAACATATCTATTATCTCTGTTATAGAAATTTTTATATTAAGTTCGAATTTCATAACTTTATTAACATTTTGTTATAATCGTTCAATCAAGTGTTATTGTTCTAATTATTATTTTGGTCATTATTTTTTTTTTTTTTATTTAAGAAAACGTAATATGCATGAATGATGCATTTAGATTAAATTAAATAAATATTTTTATGATGGATATAAAAAACCGAAAAAAATCATTTAAAAACGTGTGATAATTTATTTGTTTTTTTCAATAATGGCGTAATAATATTTCATCATACAAATATAAACATAATTTCTGAATATTATATTAATACAATATATTCTGAAAAAATTATTACTTTTTACTAAAATGTTAGTAAATTATAATTTAAAATATATATAAAAATTTTTGAAAGTATTATAATAATAATAATATAGTATATAAAATATAATAATTTTTGTATTATATGTAAAATAATTTTAATATGTAATATAATATAAAATATATAATATAAAATAATTTTATATTATATGTTATTTTTGATTTTTATTTGATTTTATTTGACAATTAAATTAATTTTTAAATAAACAAAACCAATATTTTGTATGCAATACATAATATATTATCAAAAATAATTGAAAATCAAAATAAATCGATTGTATTTTATAAATCGCCATCTCATCTAAAGATTATCTTATTCAATATACATTTAATTTCAAATATATATATAATAATTATATATTTCAAATATATACTATATATAATTATTTAATAAATAATAAATATTTATATATTATTTAATATATAAATTATATATTTATATATATATTATATATATAATTATTATATATTTATATATATAATTATATATTATTATATATTTATATATTATATATTTATATAATAAATATTTATATTTTAATTTGTACTATAAAATTTTATTTTAAATATAATTAAATATTAAATGTAATTAAATATAAAGTATGCGAATGATGACATAACCGTGGAGAGAATGATTCTATATAAAAAAAAATTCTATATAAAAAATATAAAAAAAATAAATCGAATAAATTTTTTTTAACATTCATAAGATATATTACATTGGTAAATAATCCAATTTTCTAAAAAAAATCCAATTAAAGAAAAAAATTCATCAAAATATCAATTTATATAATATATCTGCATCAAAAAATTAAATTTTATTAAATACCATTAAATATCATTTATTTATAATATATTAAAAAATATTATATATAAAATTATATAAAATTATATAAAATTTAAATACTAATATTAAATATTAATTATTTAAATTTAAATATTTTTCAGGTCATTTATATTGCAACGGTAAAATAGAATGTGCAGATGGTAGCGATGAGAAAAATTGCACGACCAAAGCTATTGGTTGCGATCCATCGACACAATTCGAATGTAGCGAAGGATCATGTATTTCTCTTTCCAGTGTATGTAATAAGAATCGCGATTGTATCGGTTGGGAAGATGAAAACGAGAAGCTTTGTGGTGTAAATGAGTGCTTAAAAAATAACGGCGGATGTTCGCAAATTTGCATCGACTTGCCTATTGGTTTTCGATGCGATTGCAGTGTAGGATATAGATTAATTGATAATCGAACTTGTGATGGTAAAATGTTTTTAAAAATATTCTTATTATTACTAAAACTATATCTATTATATTGATATAAATTATAATAATCATTTTTATTAATTATTAATTTGTTTGTACATTTAATTATTTATTTCATTTATTAAAAAATATAGTCTATATTTATATGATTATAAAAATTAATGATTAATATAATGAATGATTAATAAATGTTTTCTATTTTTAAGCAAAATTAATAAATATTTTTATATAATAATAAAATTTTAATAAAATAATAGAAATATTATGTATATAAATATTTATTTTTCACACACACACACACACACACACACACACACACACACACACACACACACACACACACACACACACACACACATATATGTGAAAAATATATATAAATTTTATATATAAATAATTTTATATATTTTATATATAAATAATATAAAATATTTCTTATTTTAGATATAGATGAATGTTTAGAACCAGGTACTTGTTCTCAATTCTGTTTGAACGAAAAAGGCAGTTTTAAATGTAGCTGTGCCGCGGGTTATCTTAAGGATCCTAGCAATCATACACGTTGTAAAGCAGCAGAAGGTCATGCTAGTCTTCTTTTTACCAGAAGACATGATATAAGAAAAGTAGCATTGGATCGTCTGGAGATGACAAGTATAGTGAAAGATACGAAAATGGCAGCAGCCTTGGATTTCGTTTTTCGTACGGGTATGATTTTTTGGAGCGATAGTAGTGAAAAAAAAATCTATAAGTAAGCAATCCTAATCGATATTTTCAGAGTTTTTCAATTCTTTTTATTTTTGTTTCATACGATTATTTCTTATTATATTTTGTTATCTAGAGCTCCAATAGATGAAGGAAATGAGCGTACAGTTGTAATTGATGATGGTTTGACAACATCAGATGGATTAGCTGTTGATTGGATATATAGTCATATTTATTGGACTGATTCTAAAAAAAATACCATAGAATTAGCTAATTTCGAAGGCAATATGAGAAAAACTTTGATTCAAGATCACATACAAGAACCAAGAGCAATAGCTTTAAATCCATTGGAAGGTTGGATGTTTTGGACTGATTGGAGCGATGAAGCTCGTATCGAAAAAGCGGGCATGGATGGATCTCATCGAACGGTAAATACATAATAAAATTGAAATTGAAAAGAATGAATTTATTGTTAAAATGATTTTCTTAAAAAGCAAAATTTCTTTTTAACAATTTCAATCAGAATTATAATCTGAAGAATTATAATATATTGAATGGCAAATAAGTATTTTTATTTCATCAAAAATATATTTTTAACTTTACATGTTTATTCTAATAAAATATTTTTTTAAAATTAAAATTATTAAAATAATATTATTAATATTATAAATAAAGAATATTAATAAATAAAAAAATTATGAATAAGTTATTAAGGTAATATGATAATATTAATAGATGAATAAAAAGTATTAATAGATGAAAAAATTTATAGATAATTTTCATTCAGAAAAATTCATTTTTTCTTCAATTTTGATATAATTAATTACAATTTTAGAATAATTACTAATTTAAATTGTAAAATAAAATTACTGATTTAAAAATAAAATTGCAAAATACTTATTTGCAGGTGATAGTTGATAATGATGTACAGTGGCCTAATGGATTGACTTTGGACTTAATTGGCAAAAAAATATATTGGGTAGATGCGAAATTGTATATAATTGGATCGTGTAATTATGATGGCACAGGTATACGAACAGTTCTGTATTCTCCGGAAGTATTGAGACATCCCTTTAGTATTACAACATTTGAGGATTATGTTTATTGGACTGATTGGGACAAGGAAGCAATATTTAAAGCAAATAAATTCACTGGTCAATCAGTTGAAGCTGTTATGTCGCTTCGAGCTCTTAAATATCCAATGGTCGTTCATGTGTATCATCCATATAGACAGCCAGATGGAATGAATCAATGTCAGGCGGTAAATGGCCATTGTAGTCATTTATGCTTACCAGCACCAAGAATTAATTCTAAATCACCTCTTCTTAGTTGTGCTTGTCCGGATGGTCTAAAATTATTATCTGATGGTTTAATGTGCGTGGAAAAAGGTAAATTATGGCTTATGATGTTAATTATTTTTAAATAAATTATATGCATTAATTTAGTATGCATCTATTGATTGAAATCAATAAAAAAAAAAATTAAAATTAGAATACTGCATGCAATATTATAATAAAAGAATTCAATGCTTTAAATATAAATATAAAATGTTAATAGAAAGCATGTTTAAAATATTTTTTGTTATTGAATTGCATTTTGAACATTCTTTTTTTAATTTTTAAATTATATAATTATATTTATATTTTATGTTTCTTGTGTTATTATTTATTATAATTATTTTGCATCGATGTTGCATGAATATGGAATATCCAGTAAGTACAACTGTAGCACCTTCAACACAAGAAATTAATAAACCATTCAAGAGACTTGAACCTTTCAACATTACAACTACGACTATTCGTAAGTATATTTGCACGAATTTTCTTTTACATACAGTTTGTTATATTTGATCTAAAAGTTTTGATTTTGATTTAATGTTATGTATAATCCTATTATATATAATGATAATATAATTTATTTATTATGCGAGATACATATAAATTTTCTAAATTATTAAAATTCTTAAAAATAATTATATATATATATATATATATATATATATATATATATGTATGTAATAAAAGTTTTTTATAATTATAGTTTTTTTAAATTATTTATATATATTATTATGTATATCTTCGTTTCTCTTATTTCATCAAATAATTTATTTTAGATTCGATTCATTCAATAGATGGAGACGAGGAAGATGATCTGACATCTGAATCAACAGATCCTGGTTTAGTTGCTGGCATAGTGATAGGTGTTACGTCTTTAGGGTTATTATTTCTCGCATTAGTAGCAGTATTATGTTATAGGCATTATCTTCATCGTAATGTAACGAGTATGAATTTTGATAATCCTGTGTATAGAAAAACTACAGAAGATCAATTTAGTCTTGAAAAAAATAGATTTCCACTCCCTACTGCTACAGTTGGAGAAGAGGTAATTACTGTGTATAATAATATTATTTCGTTAAACAAAATTATATATATCATTTATAATTTTATTTATTAATTTATCAAACTTCGATAAATTTATATTTTGTATAATTTTTTTATTTAATTTTAATAGGCTCAGGAACCTTTAACGAGTCCTGGAACTAATGATTACGTTTAAGAATGAATTTATCAATAAAATGGGCTTAGCAGGCTATTGAAATATATCGACCAAATAACATAAAATGATATATTAAAAAAGCAAGAAAATACATGTTGAGCAAGCCTGTTCAATAATATGCCTGTATTTGCCCATCTGCCTGCCAATTCAGCTGTGATTATGTTTATTTTTTGTATTGTCTCTAATTCTTTATAAATTCGTGCATTTTGTCATTCAATTATCATTGTATGTATGTGCAACATATATTTGCTTCAAGACATAAAGGGAGAAATGCTGAGATATTAATTACTATAATTGCAAAATAAGCATTTAAGCGTCAGTTTTTGGATAATTAGATAAAATACAATAAAATCTTATTTTTAATATTTTCTTTTGGTTTATTATATGCAATAATAAAAAAACAAATAACATAATGTTATTTCTATGATCATGATCAATCATATGATCATGCAACAATGTTTAAATTTATATATATATGAGATAGAGAGGAGGAAGAAAGCGAGCGAGCGAGCGAGCGAGCGAGAGAGAGAGAGAGAGAGAGAGAGAGAGAGAGAGAGAGAGAGAGAGAGAGAGAAATATATTTTATGTACGAAAATCTTTAACTTGTTGTCGATTAATTATTTATTTTTTAAGAATATATTTTTTCGCATTTCTTTTTTAATTAAATATATTGTTATATTATTAGAATTATTGCATATTATATATTATATTTATAATACAAAAATATATAATAGGAATAATTTTGAAAATTATTATTAATATCAATAATGAGTTATCAAAAATTTTGAATATTTAATTTGATAATTATTTGTATTGTTTTTTTATATATATCGTATAATAATTTATAATGCCAGAAAAGTGTTCTAATTTATTAATATTTATATCAAAATATTTTCCTAAACAATTGAAAAAATTTTTCTTTGATATATTATAAATTTACTTATCATTTATAAATAATAATAATTATTATATTAATCTTAATTAATACAGTAATGTTTAAGTATATAAATATGTAAAATATTTTTTTTTATATGAATTTCTCCTTTTATGTCATTTACGATATATAAGCAATATGTTTTCAACATATTCATAGAATTTTTTTTAACAATCATCTGTGTTTATATAAGTAGTTAATATTATCATAAGATATTTCTTGTCAATATATTCTATCTATATTATATTTGTATAAATACATATATGAAATAGATTAAAATCCAATTAGATGTAATAAGATCAGCTCAATGACACTAAGTATAACTGTGTGTCTATTAAAAATAAAACTGTTGTTTAGATATTTCATTCTATTAAAAAAAAAAAATCAGTGTATATGTATAGAATCGTCTCAAGTTTTTTCAAAATAATATATAAAGTATTACATATACTTTATAATATTATTGTATCAAATAATTAAATAGAAGACAGAGATTCTTCTAGCTAAAATTAAAAAGTATATTAGATTAGACAAATTAAGATTTTATATTAAAAAGTAGCAATATGTTTTCATTATCCATGCTATATAATTTTGTTATAAATTTTAATTCAACAATCAGTTTTAATTTTTAAGTAAAAAAATTCAATTAATTAAATGCAATAAGAATAAATGAAAAAAAATTTCGTTTTAATTATATTCACAAATATTTTATTGAAAATTATATTTTTCAATAATATTTATATTAATAATTTATTAATACAAGATGGTATATCGTAGTACATTGAAACAAAGATAATTTTATGTGAAAAAATAAGAAAAAAAAATCGGTATAACATTTTTTTCTTTGAGATTTTATAAAATGATTTTGAAAATTGATATTTGTAAATTGAATATAATTTGATTGTTGTTATTTCCATCTGAGCTAAAGTTTATAAAGTTCTTAATTTTAGTTTATATTTTCATTTATAATATAAATTTATAATATAAATTTTTTAGTTCATATGAAAGAAATGTAAATGTACAAAGAGAATATATACGTTTGAAACAGAAAATTTATAAAAAGTTTGAAAAATTAAAAAACGATGATATATTACAATCTCTTCAATCATTTTTCAATTAATTCATTGATTCATGTATGCAACGAGAAAAATTGATAATAATACATTAATATTTTTGACAATACAGAATTTTATTTATATAAATTTGCGACAGATAAATATGTGCACATAATCAAATTATTTATATAATAAAAATCCACTTAATTTTCTTATCAAATGTAATTTTTTGTTCATTTAATAGAAATTCATTTTTCTAAAATGCATAATGATGTATTAAATATTATAAATTTCAAAAACAATTTTGCAAGATGAATTTTGCAACAATTTTTTATAGTTCTCTCATATTTAATGAAATAATTTTTTATTTTATATTATAGATATAAATGTACATTTCTAATTATTATAAAAATATTTATATATAAATAGAGTGATACTTAACTGTAGTTCAAATAATAAATGTTCACTTAAAATTCAAATAATCAAGTATTATGTAAAATTTCATTTAAATAATAAAAAAATAGAATTTCATCGTATTTATAATAACAAACAAATAATATAAAAAAATATAAAAAATAAGAGTTAAGTAATTTGCAAAAATATTACTTCAATCATATCATTAATATATACAAATCTATATTAGATAGAAACAGCTAATAATAAAATACATAATAATTAATTCATATTTAGTTTGTAAGTTTGATTAATTTTTAATTCAATTTTTTTAAAAACAAAACCTTGAAGAAAGAAATTTAATATCAATTTTTTTTCTGATTTTTTAATGTAGACTTTATCCATTTGGATGTATTGCGATTACCGTTCCACTCTATATAATCAAATATATAAAGATTTGCTACTTTTTAAAAAATACATTCTTATTCACAAATGAAAGAAAGAAAAATCCAAAATTAAAATATAGAGGCTCGATGATAATTTTAATCAAAAGATAGCAAAAATGTGGTGAGTATCAATTATATATTATATAATTAACTATGTGAATCATAAGGCATAATTTACTAATATATCTATATATTTGCCAAAATCGTGTCAAACATTATTTCTATATTAGATATGCGCATATGCGCATAATATAAATATATATTATATATATAATTTATTATAACAATTATTGTATAAAATAAATACATAAAATAAATAACATTATTGCCATTGTTATCATACCTATTAAGTTAGAACGTGCATAATTTGTAAAAACGCAATTTTGAAATACATTTAAAGTAATCAATGATTTTTCTTTAATAACTTATAAATTATATAATCTCAAATATACAAACTTATAAGCAATATAATTATATAAAATATTATCAAATCGTCTGCAAATGACTGACAAAAATTTCATATAAAGCTCGATCTGATAAATAATTCTCTAGTGATCTTATTTTCTTTATCTCCGTTATATCGTTACATTCTATTTCTGTCTTTGCTTAATGCGAATTTAAATTGCTTAATAAGAAATTTTTATAATCAATTGTATTTGTTTTGAAATTTGTTCTAGAATTGACCCTATAAATGTATTTCACCATATAATATCCTATACATTTTATATTTTTTATACATTGCATAGTGAATAAGTATAAATAAAAATTGTGATTTTAAATGTGTATTAAAATATGTGTTATAAAATCTGTACGTATTAAAAAATGAAAAATCTGTTTTCTTAATACACTTATAAATATTTGTGAATTATAAATATATGTTCTCGTAAAAAAATGTTTCTAGAAATATCAAAATAATTTGATATGTGCGCTAATTTTTTTTAAATTATATTTTCATAAAAATTACAAAATTTGAATATAAATTTTTAAAAACTCTCAAAAACTGTGAAAAATTTTTATAAGTTTAAGTTTAAAAGTTATTTTTTCATATTATATTTATCTAATATAAAATTATAAATTTCTTACTTTTTCATTTTTTTATTTATTATAAAAATCAACATTATAGAATTAATTACTTTCTTTCACTTATTGATTCAAACTATAATTAATATGTTGGTTTGAAATCTAATTATAGATCTTTTACTGGTTCGATGAAAGTTGTTTCAATAGAATTCTTTTATCTCATTTGAGATCAATTAGCTAAAGTCTAAATAGCCAACTTTTAAATTACATCGATTTCATTTTTTTTTTTGAGTATATTGTTTTTTTAACTAATTTTACTATTTGAATGAAAAATGTATTATTGATATTGTTGATAATAATATATATAAAATATATAAAATATTATTTATATATTTATAAAACATACCGCTCTTTCTTGATGGTAAAAGTTATTTGAATTCATTTATTGCTTTTGCTTTTCCATTTTACGAATCAATCTTTATTAAGGAAAGTTTTTCAAGTTAATAACTGATTTTGATAAAACTTATAAAAGGTCTGATTATAAAAAGTCTGATTATATAAAGGATATAGTTTTATAGGATATGTAAATTTATAAGGATATGTAAACTTGTAAAGGACATGTAATTTATAGACAATATAATAAAAAATATTTGATTCATATTTTTTTTATCCGAATTCATGTTGAACAATTGAATAAATATATTTTTCTCAATATTTTAAAAACTCTTTGTATACGTAAATTCTTTAGTATAAAAAAATGTTATATACAAAAATTATTTTTAATGGTAAATTTGATATAAACTTTCTCAAAATATCTATTTATTTAAAAATTATAATAAAAAAATTAATATTTTTGCTTAATTTTTCATTTAAAATCTAATGTTATTTTTAAGTTTGTTATATTTTTTATTTCTTGTTTATTTAAACTATATAAATATTAAATAAATAAATATTGTAAAATATTATATTATTATTTCTTTTATTAATGAAAGTGTGGTTAATTATATAAATGTCAGTATCACAATAATGGAACAAGATGTATATTAATTTAAGTATTATTGTATCATTGATATATTATATAATATAATGTAACATATAATAAAATGTAATATAATATGATATAAGTAATGTAATATAATATTAAAAAATATGTTGTAAATATTAATTTATATAGATTAAAAAAAATGAATAAAATATGAATGTTACATCATAATTTTATTTAATTATAATATTATTTCTTCTATATTGACAATAAGTCACTATATTTAAACAAAAGCTTATTAAATTTTTAAATTTTTGTATTGTAATATTGATAATTAATTATATGAAGAATTATTGCATTTTTTTATTATCTTAAAATATAATATGTATTTATTATTATATTTAATATCATAATTAAATCCAAAGTTTTTCTAATAAAATTTTTCCTTATCCTAAAGTCATAATGTTAGATAAATATTAAATAAATTCTATAGTAATTTTTCTAGTATTTCTAGTATTTCATATTTATTTTCTGATATTTTTTTGTGTTATTATTTCAGTGTTGCTATATACTTCAAGAATCTAGTAAGATTGAATGCTTGGGAGAATTGAATTGAAAAGAATTGAAAGTTATTTGATTAATTTTTTCATCTATAAGTTTAGTTGATAATCGATGATAATTGATAATACGATGATATAAAAATTTATGACATGTTCGATTGCGA